GCATGAAACGAATACCCGTTTGAGGGTAAACAGGTGTAACGACATTCAATTCGGGTAAATAGGTGTAATGATATTCAACTCATGGAGATTCCTGTGGAAATTATGGTTAATTTAGAGGACAAAAATGGAATGATTAAGGTTGGTTCAAAGAATATCAACATATAGTGACGACACGTGCTCATCGGTAATTAATCCAGATGCTATAACAAAGGCATCGACAAGAAAATTACACATACTTCAAATCTTGTAGTATTCATTTAGCGAGATAACGTCCACTTAGGCGAGCAAATACAAAATCGAATAAAGACTACAAAAAGACTACAGAAAAATCAAGAAGAAGCATCATTTGGATCTTGTGAGGGTCGGGTAGCATTGGCACTATTGTCGGCAGGAGTCTGCTCGAGCTGCTGCGCCGATGCAGTGGGTTGGCTCGAGCCGGAGGTGGACCCAGACCCACCTGCGGACAGGGATTGGCGAGCAAGAGGAGGGACATAGCCGTCAGGGAGCTTGAAGGTACGCTTCAACAGGTCATCCCGCTCCACGACGTGCTCGAGCAGACCAGACCACCAGTCGTGGTCATCAGGAAAATCGAGGGCGCTCTCATAGCCGACAGGAGCCTTGGGCATAACATCCCATATGGCCTCCATATTAAACTCCTCGAACCCATCCTCAGCGACTTGGACCCCTGCCTGCTGCATTATGGCCCCAAAACAATGGGTGCCATAGTCCTGCACACCCTTTAAATATTGTGGTGACTGCTTGAATGCAGAAACCACTTGTTCACGGTAAGCTTGTAGGAAACGTTGGCCAGCTGTAGTATGGAAGACCATTCGTCGAGCCCGAACGGCAGCCTCGTCGACCAACGGCTTAGCCCTTTGTTCGAAGGCAATGCTCTCGCGCGCTCGCGCCGATTTCTCCTCCTCGAGCGCAGTCTCGAGAGCCTTCTTGGAGGCTAAGAGAGCCTCCTTCTCTGCTCGCCCTGCTGCGAGGGCCTCCTCGAAGGACTTCAAAGCCCCCTCGAGCGTATCTTTTTCCTCAGAGAGGGCCTTGTTACGGGCAGCCGACATCAACAGCCTATCGTGGAGATCGTTTGCCTTGGCCATGGTTTCTTTTAGCTGTGTGCCAAGGCGAAGATTACTCCGCTCGAGAGCCGAGATAGACCGACCGGGGCTTGCGAGGGTCTGCTCGATTAGCGGCGCGAGCTCAACCATTCCCTACAAGGGCACATAGTGGAAAATGTTGGAACACTTAACAAGCGAAAGACGAAGAATAAAAATGGACAGGCAGTGAGAAATACGAGATACCTGAGCCAGCCAGTGGGCAAGCCGTTGGCCGCGGTCACGAAGGGAGTGACCATCGTTATAATGGTCGGTGGGACGGTCGACGGGGGGAAGAACATCCCTGAGATAATGAGAAAACCCAGGACCGTCGAGCGTCGTGATCGAAAGGGCAGTTTCATTAACACGGCAGCGTTTGGCAGTATTTTCATTTTCCCCGGCAGCGGAGCGTTTAAGTGGATTCTCCACTAGCTGGGTCTGCTGGGGAGAAGCAGGAATATGTATGACCGGGGTCGCTTGATCGCGCGTGGGAGAATGCGGCGGAGGAGAGCATGGTTTCTCGAGCTGCTCTGATGGCTCGAGAGGCTGCTCGGTCGGAAGGTTGGCTGAAGAAGGTGGCTCGACAGTTGTGTTCGGGGGAGGAGGGGTCGAGCGCACAGGTTGGGAGGTGGCGGAGTCAGCAGGCTTAGCACTCGACCCCTCCGCGGCGGTTTTCTTCTTCAGAGGAGCTCTCCTTTTAGGCATGGAAATAGTGGGCATCTCTGCAAAAAACGTACACGCAGGTCATAACTGCAATGAACATATGATACATAAGACAAATATGGCGATGCTCAAGCCTAGTTAGTAAAGATGCACACCTGGGTCGCTCTCGATCAGGATAAGATTTAAAGTCTTTTGACTAGGAGGAGGGCAGGATTTATGAGTAAGCAACCCACAAAAATGCAGAAGGTTATCATCCTCCAAAAGGGTCTTCGACGCAACGGGCTTGCTATTCCATACTGCAATCCGTTGGTCGAAGAGGGCGTTGGCAGGAGGCACGGAGTACTCTCGAGGGAGTTCCTTAAGCCAAGGAGATGGGGCCCAAGGAAAAGCAGGTTTGGGCTCGACAAAAGCGAATCTGTGTTTCCAGCGGGGAACGTTTGAAGGGGTATCCGAGATGAAATGGACGTCGTTGCGGCCCTTGAGGTAGATCCCCGGAGCGTGTTTCGAAGGAGTATAACAGTAATGGAAAAAATCCAGGTCAAGCCGACCTAAACGAACGCGACAAAGGATGATGAAGATGGTAATAAATCTGATGGCGTTTGGTGGAAGTTGGTTCAAGGGTAGATCGAACCACTTGCAGAGATCGATCAAATCCTGGCTTAAGGGAAAGCGGATGCCAAGTTTAAATTGAATTTCAAAGAAGGTATAGCAGTTTTCGGGAGGATGGTCGTAAGTGTCTCGTGAACCTGGGGACAAAAAAGCCCAATTGGTAGGATAGCCATTCTTCGGCATCCAACCAACCAGCTATGAGGGAGCGAGAAGAAGAAGAGGACTTTTTTGAAGAGGCGGGTGCCTTAGCCGACTTACCCTTCTCAGGAGCAGCTGTAGGAGAAGGGGAGACGGGGATAGACGAAGAAGCAGCTCGGGCAAAGATGGAATGGCGAGAAAGAGGAATAGTGTCTTCGTCTTCCTCAGCAGCAGCTTCGGCGGCATCCAGGGCCTCTTCAACAGCGTCGGAAGCCCCGAACGCCGGTCGGCGACGATTCAAGGGGATGTGATCGAGGACATCCCCATCCGACTCATCAATCGGACGAATAGATTGGCGAGGAGGAGAAGGTGGAGTATAATCAGAAGGGCGTAGAACATTGAGAGGAACAGGATTGTAGATTTCTTCAACGGAGCGGGAAGGCGAGTGAGGAATAGGTCGGTGAACAGGAAAAGACGATGTGCTTGCCCCATCTTCACTGAACTGATGGCTCGGTGCGTTAGAATCAGCGGAATCTGAAAAGAAGAGCAAAAATTGAGGGAAAGAGGAGAGGAATTAGGGTTTCGAAAAGCAAGAGAGGTAGGTTTTATCGGCCGCAAGTGAGGTGAGAAGAATTGGGGAAAAAAGGAGAAGCAACAAACAAAATTGATTGAGAAAGTAAACACGCATAAATATAAAATTGGAGCACAGAAGACTTACTCATGGTCGCGGTGAAAGAGTGGTTGCCGGAAAGTACTTGAACAGGTGTTGAGAGCAGGCCAGAGCAACGTGCAGAAGGAAAGTATGGAGCGCAAAGGAGGTTCAAAATCGCGAGGGTGAGAAAAGTCGCAAAAATGACTAAGCGTCGTATTTATAGGAGAACAGTTGAATAAGATGAAAAGTTGGGAGAATAGGACCGTTAGATAAAAGGAGATCCAACGGTCGAAACAATCAAAGGGGCGCAGATATCGGAGCGGCACAAAGTACGAGAAGACGTGATGATTAAGGGTACAGAGAAGGAGGACATGTGGCAGGCGGAAATCGCGCTAAAATAAAGAGAAATAAAAGCGATCATTGCAGGCAATAAAGGGAACCACGCGGTCGAAGAAGGGTAGCAACATCAAATAGAACGATCGAGAGAGGAGACAAGAAGGCGACATTGACAAAAAACAATCGGAAAAATACGTGAAACGAAGAAGATAGCTCGGACTCACTCTTAGATCGAGTCATTCAGACTCGACCAGAGTGGGGGGGGACTAGATGATATGGGATATCATATGACTAAAGGACAGACCGGCTTATCACGACGGTCAAACCGGCATGAGTAGGAAGAAAACCGCGTGGGCTAAAGGATGATCGACCAGAGCAGAAAAGATCGAGCTGAATGGCAGGGCTGGTCGAGGATCGACCTAGCGAAGGGGAGCTCGACCATGTCGAGCGCGTAGTGGGAAGGAGACAGTCGAGAGCGTGACCTGAACGCGAGTAGGCGCGTGGGTGATATTCAGGAATCCCAACGGCCTATGTAAAGGAATATTTCCCCTCAGCGTAAAAGGGGACACGTGGCGAGAACCCAGTGGTGCCGAGTAAAAGTGGCGGTAACCACCTCTGACGTCCCTGACTTTTCTGACAATACGCGTACTGTGTATGTACGGACGGGCAGCGCGGGCAGGACAGCTCACCAAATAGCCGGGCAGCTCTTAGGGCAGGTATCTCACTCCTATATATATGGGGAGTGGGTCTTTTTTAGGGTTTACGATTTATCCATTACTTACTTTGGAAAATTGAACAAACAGATACTGACTTAAGCATCGGAGGCTCTTCACCGGAAAACCCCTCCGGTGTGAGAGTTTTTGTGCAGGAGCGCGGCGTTCTATCGGCGAGGAAGAAGGAGGCGAACCGATTCCGAGCCGGTTGGAGTGTTTTGCGTTACCATAATGTAACTGTAGTGCACCTCGGAATTTGCTCCTTTGTACTAACCACAGCCAAAATCTTGATGAAACTGCCCAAATCTCCACCAGTCTTACAGATATGGACATTCTTAACCCCTTTAAATATTTGGCCTATTTTGAGACCAACATCAATGCTCATCCAGTTTAGAGGCACGTTCAGAACTTGCACCCAGAGTTTCACTTCATCAAAGTTACTATGATTGCATACTAACCCAGGGAACCATTCCTTAAGCACTAAATACTGATTTTCATAAATCCAGTTATGCCCCATTGCTACTTTTTTCTTATCTTCTGCTGAGCTGAAAAGAAATTGAAAAAAGTTAGAACTTATCTCTTTCACTTCCATAGGTTGTTGAATTTTCCAGATATTGGTCATTGCTCTTTTAATCCCCAGAAGACTGGCTGTTCTATCTCCCACCACTTTCCCGAAGAGGCTCCTCCCACATTCCTCCTCACTGACTTTAATATCATTCTGTTGGATCACAATCCCTCCCGCTTCAACCGCAGATAGAGAGATATCCCCTAATTTCCTCATTATATCCTCACTCAGATCAGACGATTTCGCATTCCCTGGAGATTTATCCCCCATTTCCTCACGTTCAATAAACCCTAATCCAAATTTGAATAACACGATTTCACTCGCTCAGATACATCAATAATATAAGAGAATCGAAAAGGAACAGATATTGCAATGAATCAAGAACGACCACGATGAAGAGAATCTTTTGCTCCCACTTGAGAGAATTTTGGCTCCCACTTGAGAGAATAAAATACTAAATGAGTACTACACTATTTAACAATATTGTTTTTTATTATATAATAAAATAATGATTAAATATTATATGGTGAACAACAATAAGTAAAACTATTACTTTGTCTTATATCAAGGGATAAACTTATATGCTAAAATTAAATTTTTATTAGTATAAATGTTTTAGTGAGACAATATATTAATTATTTTACAAGCTAGCCCTAGCATGCTCATATTTAATGTTTTAAAAGATGTAGAAAAAAAACTTATAATAACTATATTGTTTTTTAGACTTAAACGTTGATTAAAGGAGGTAAAAATTCCTAATTTTTTAGACAAAAACGTTGATTAACACCATAGATTGAGAGTTTATATTTAGTAAAATTCCTAATTGTTATAAAAAATTAATTTTTGCTATAATTTAGAATATCTTTAAATTCATTATAAAAAAAAAAAAAATACAATGAAAAAATCAAGTCAGCTATATATCGATTTGTTGTACTCCTCAAATCACATTCACAATTTGGCTACAAGGAAAGGAAACTCATTGATTAAAATATTATTTTGTCAGTAGTCTTAATATACAAGAGACTTTAAGACTCCACTTGAATATTATAAAACCTTTATTGAACATTGTACAATTTTCTTGCGTATTATAAACTTTTATTGAATATTGCATCTTATAATATAATATTCTCCAAATAAATATATCTCGTGCTTTGCACGGGTCACGTACTATATATATCCCGTACATTTTTCTTTATTCATGTATATAATTATAAGCCTGGATAAATAGCCTTAAAATTATGCACCCTGTGCATCGCACGGGCTCTGTACTAGTTAGTTTGGTTAGGAGTCCAAATAAAAGGCATGTGTCTATTAGTATCCTATTAGTATTTTATTTGTTAGGAAAGTCTTTATTCCCAAGATGTTTAGTTGTTTTAGGATTTATTTGCTTGCATTATTTAGGAGTTCTTTCTAGACTAGGATTAGCTCTATTTGGTATCTATAAATACCCACTATGTACCATTCAAAATTATGATTGATGAGTGAATAGAAAAGTCGAACGTTTGTTCAAAGTTCTCGGGTGTTTTCTCTTGTGAGTTTACATAGAGTTCGTGATAGAAATAGGACCAACATCCGAGTTTCGTCACAATGATAGAAATAGGACCAACATCCGAGTTTCGTCACACCTATCGCAAAGTACGAAGGCGTCGGCGCGCTTATTAGCAACATAACGCAAAGGGACCAAGGCTTCGGCACGGGTTTCGAGCGAATCGAGCTAGGCGTAACACACGATCCTTCATCAAATGGTATCGCCGCACTGACCGCGGGTTTTGGTGGGTCGGGCTAAGCGGGCCATGGGCGAGCCCGTTATTTTTTTAAAATAATATATCTATATATATATATATATATATATATATATATATAT